GTGTGTGTGTGTCGTGTCGTGTGTGTGTGTGTGTGTGTGTGTGTGTGTGTGTGTGTGTGTGTGTGTGTGTGTGTGTGTGTGTGTGTGTGTGTGTGTGTGTGTGTGTGTGGGTGGGTGGGTGCGTGCGTGCGTGCGTGCTTGAGCGAGCTATGTATGCTAGGTTAACTTGTGTCTACACATGTTGGATACGTTTAGTGGCAAGCCCAGAAATAATGACCTCAAATTAGCTATTAATCACCCCATCTAGATAGACACTGAACACTTATCTTCCTACTGAGCCTAACGACATATCACTAAGACACCATTTATGTGGCACCAAGGTTCACAGCTCCTGACCATAAATTGACATGCTGTGCCAGTCTATAGGGTACTGGTCAATACTGCAGCCATTCTAAAATATCTCTGCCCTTCAGTATAATACAGCGTGAGCAGCAACACTGACCTGTCTATGTCATTGCACTGCTAACAGAAACAGCAGTGTAGTAGCCAGCTACGTTACTTAGCTACAAACAAGTTTCAGATACAACGACTTGTGTGATGGCAGCGACAACAATTATAGCACATATTTTATATCATTGTATGCTATTGCTAAAACAATTGGAACAATAAAAGAACTATTACCTCAAATGCATGAGTACTATTCATGTAGTGATACAGTAGCTAATACCAGCAACACACACTGAAGTACATCCACAACACGACCACGATTATAACAGCAATAATCAAAATAGCACCAAATCAATGGTGAACCAGTCAACAGTTGACAGCAAGGCATAACGTAACATGACGCGGTGTATTGTGACAATGTGTCGTGTGGTGTGTTGCATCGCTGTACTGCACTGTAGTGCAGCATGGCGAAGTGTAGTGTTGCATCACGTAGTGTGGTATGTTGTTGAATTCCAAGATGCAGTGTGGCATGGCATTGCATACTAGCATGGTGCAGATAAAATAATCTAAACCAACATACATGTATTAGTTTTTCTAATTTCACTAATTTTAAATTTAGTATATATTCTAAAAATGGTTTTCAGTTGTAGTGATGTAATTTTACGAACCAACATTTTAAGTGATATCTATGTCTTACCATGGGACATATATTATTGTAAATATCATCAATTTCAGTTTTATACTGCCTGATGATATCTTGTTTGCAAAATTTATTTTAATTGTAATGTTGTTAACACTAGTTTTGCAATAAACCTATTATCTATCTATCTATCTATCTAGTAGCATTATTGTTACATGTAGGTACAATAACACGATACAATAACGTAGGTAACTCATTAATAGTAAGGTTAGGGCTAGGTTAATACTACTAGGTCTACTCTTGTTAGGTTAAATTATTGTATCTAAGTTACTCTAATCTCTTGTGGTTTACATGATTGACAATTATTGTATCAAATGTAGTGTACTGTGTACTGTAGCACAATCAAATTATCAATGAATCATCATGCCTTTGACAATGTGCATGCCTCGGCTGGCTCTATTTCCGGCAGTCACAACAGCCTTCAGAAGTTCAGAAAGCCACGAGGCTCGAAAACGCTTGACATCCCTATTTCTTCATGCTAAACCCTGTTTTACCTGAGTTATGGTACGTTTGATGGTTTGTTGACGCTCACTCAGCCTCAGCGACCTGCACGTAATGTCACCCAGTCAGTGACTGACTTAGCTCTAGAACTATGACTGACTGCGTATACTACACGTTCCTAATATCCCACTAATCTATTACGCTCTTAGATAAACTAAGCACATAATTTCAGCTCAGTTCCAAATCTACGTGCAATAACACAAAATGTCTTTACTCACCTGCAAAGGAGTAAAACCATTCACTTTTCCCTTTTCCCTATGCTTTTCCAATGCTCCTTGTGTTGCACAGGAACATCGACAGCCGATAAAAGCGACTATTAACAAAAGCGCATCCTAAGCGCCTTTTTTAATTTTTAGTAATATATAACCCATTTGTGAGACATTACTTTTTATTACACACAAACACTTAAATACATGATAACACCATGTTTTTATTAATACATTTTATTAAAAATCAAAATATACAGTGTAATAAAATATATTAAAAATGTGTACACTTGTTCATATTCCACCAAAAGCTGCACAATTATTCTACTAATCACCCTGACTACTTATATTAATAGCATCATTTCGTGAATGTCTATCTTATGGCACGCTGGACTCATCTAGCCTTGCTTAGACCAACAAAGTGTGGTGTTGATTCTCTTCTCTGAGCGTAATCAAAAGACAAGCCTCAAATAAAATTGGAAAATGGTCTCAACTGCAGTTTTTCAGTCCAGCGGTGCGCATCCACGCGCACCTCACACATCGACTGCAACTTACATACAGTGCGGAATAAGTTAATTTATTGCTTCAGAGACACTTTTAATCGATTTACCAATCACAATTACCTCTCCCCGATAACGTTGCTGGGTGTGCATGAAGTAGCTATGGCACTATAGTTATTCCCAGGCTGTAGTAAAAAGCAATAAGGTTACAATTAATTAGGTGGTAGCAACAACGTCCCTATAATTACGGAGAATATATGCCTCGTCACACACAATCAGTCATTTAGAATTCAGTTGGCATTGGCAAGAAAACTAGTAATAGTGTGGTAGAGGGGATCCTATTGATTTAGGAGAGCGATAACGTGGATTAAACAAGAGACCGAGTCAGTGTCCAATTTTTAGGAAACATACTTTCCCATGAGTAATTTCACATTATATATAGCCACCATTAAAGACAAACCATCATAACACCGTGACGATTAATAATATTTCAGACAATTAAAAGGGGATGGACATATGTAATCCGCGCTTATTCTAAAATTGGTCGAATTCCCCTAGGCAGTTTTGTGAGCATCACAATTCGTCTTTGTTGTCAACGTCTGCTGTCGTCTGCTCGCGCTCGCCGTGCGTGGTTGGAGGCTGCGCCGTGGCAACGGCAGCGACGTAGGTTGGATGCGAGAGTACGTACAGCTTTGCCTTGTTCACCATTCTGACAAATTCATCGACGTCAAACTCATAGTTGGTGAACTTCTGGTGAGCACCAAGCGTCGGATGGTGTCCCTGAAGCAGCAAGGTCACGGCAGAGTGATGGCACCAATATAAATATTTTCTTTGAAGCATTATTAATATTAAGGCCACTTACCTTTTAATAAGATTTTTTTTATGGGACACAGAGGGTGATACTTGTAAAATATTGTGTTTATGGAAAGGGCATAGACACAGAGGCAAACCAAGAAGGGCAGCCGTAGAATTCATTTTCGTGGATATCTGCCAATTTTCAGGGGCATTACAGAAAGTAGGGATGGCAACCATAGTGCTTGGCATGGGTGCCCTGGTAAAATTCGAGCTCTGTTATTGTGTAAAGATGTTGCCCAGTATAGATTGTTATGGCAACATCACCAGATGTCTACACAACTCTGTACATGGCGCGAGGCCAAGAATGTGCAACTAGTATAGACACCCTGAATGGTAGAGGTACCTAAACTTCTGATATAATTGTTCTGTTAGCTACGTATTGTCGTGCGTCTAAATTCCCTGCTGTGGGTGTGCTGAATATTTGTACCTTATCCTGCTGTGTGACCTTGCTCTCATCCTCCCAGGTCATGTATTTGACACCTCGCAGGTTCGAGAGATCACTGTAGCAGTACGAGTCACCGCAGTTGTACCTGTTAAGCAGAAATCGCTACCAGTGTCATGAAGGAAACGTCAACATAATTTTTTTTTTTTTTAAACACGAATATCAAGTCTGCAAAACTTCTCAATTTATATATCTGCCTATCCCAACCATGATGGTTTCAGTAAAGATCTTCCTATGCTTATGTACCTATCCCAACCATGATGAATTCAGTAAAGACCTTTCTATGCTTATCTGCATATTTCAACGGTAGCGAGTCCACTATACACCTTTTTATGCTGATCTCCCTATCTTAAAGGGAGCAGAAATCGCTACCAGTGTCATGAGAGAAACGTCAACATGATTTTATTTTTTTTTTTAACACGAATGAGTCTGCAAAACTTCTCACATTTATATATCTGCCTATTCCAACCATGATGGTTTCAGTAAAGATCTTCCTATGCTTATCTCCCTATCTCAACCATGTTGAGTTCAGTATACACCTTTCTATAGTTATCTGCATATTTCAACGATAACGAGTCCACTATAGACCTTCCTATGCCGACCACTGCCTTGCACCTATGGCTGAAATAGCAAAAGCTTTCCAAAGATATACATTGAACGATATGTCACTCACAGTTCAAACAGTACGCCCCAGTCTGGCTGAAAGAGCAGGTGGGCAAGTCCTGAACCATGCATGCCGATGAAAACATCCGACATCTGAGATTGCTGCAAGAAACATGCATCCCGGTCAGTTGGATGAAGCCTGATCATCTTAGAAGTACTACTCATCTATGATTGCCATGCACAGATATAGCTAGAGGCGGACGTCAATGAATGACGACGGCAAAATCACGGCAGTGCACAAGTGCCATACATCCAGACGGATCGCCTCGCATTTTGGTGTGAAATACTCTTTTGTGTGCACAAGAAAAAGGTCAGAGACTGAAGACAATTTTTTTTGTTACTCAGACTTTTCGAGGCAAGTTCACTTGTAATGACTGCCATCACCAGAACAACTAGTGGGTAAAAGTTATCGGGGGACCAAAACTGCAAGTGTGAAATTCCTAACTGTGGAGGATCGACTGTGTTGCGGCTATCTATATACCTGCATCTGATCGAGAAATGGCACGCTAGTGTTGTACTCCACCAAGGTGACCAGCAGCTGTGCATCACGCTCCAAAGCCTCTACCAGAGCCACCTGGTTGAGCACGTTCCTGTACCTCGTGTTCCTCTGGAGCACAGTAACTCGCACCTTGCCTGGCTGCAGTGGAGTCAATGTTCAGTTCATGGGCGTTAGTTTGAGTCACACAGGTGTTTTTTCAATTGAGGAAATTCGATTTAGACTTATTATACCCATAGCACTATCAATGAATCATTAAGTATATACAAGGTATATTATTATACTTTCTTACTATTGGAATATTTCGCTTAATTTCTAGTCTGTGTAGCAGGAATCTGTTGAAGGAGTGGAACACACCACTACCGTTGCAGCCATGCACCAAGGGCATGTTGTAATATAGTCCATAGCGCATCCTGGCCAGCAATGGGAAAACGACATCTTTGAAACAAACCTATAACAAATAATAGGTTTACATAAAACCACCACAAATAACCACCAATGATACTAAATAATGCATTTAAAATACCATCAATCATTGATCTAAGGACAAATGTTCTTTCTGATAAAGGAAACTCACCACAGGCCTTACTGACTGAGCAATTACATGAGCCAACTTGATGAAACCCATTCAGCAGGAAATTACCATTACAATCGTACCAATTCCGCTTTAATTCAACCTCATATACCTAAATCAGTCGAATAATTCAAATCAGCAAATTACTTGAGATGTATAAAATAAGTTATAGAGCGAACTACCGAGGATCAATGCGTTAATAACGGACTGCACGTGTATTTATTTCTTCAAACTATTACCATTACGAGTGTTGCTGTAACTCCTACCTTCTTCCCATCTAGCTGGCGCAGGTGAACTATGTTGTAATCTGTGAAAGCTCTCCAGGTATCCACAAAGAAGTCTGCATAGTCCCAGGATGACTGCAGCCCACAATTATCGAGTATAATTAATAAAGTAATAATTAATTCATATCATTGTTTAGTTGAGTAATTAATACCATTAGTTGATTAACCTGAATGATAGCATTGGCACACTTACGTGTATGTCCCTGATTGTCCCAATGACACCCTTTAACAATATCTTGTATGAATTTGTCGAATCGAGAAATCAAATCACAGCAATTACAATTTTGTTAGCAATCATGCAATAGATTTTTTATCCAAGTATCAAATACTGGGTAGCAATCACCCCCCTCTCTCTCACCCTCTCTATTTCTCCCCCCCCCCTTCTCTCTCTCTCTCTATATATATATATATATATATACCAGTACCCAGCAGCTCTACATACCGTGTCCCACATGACGATAGTCACATCCGTGCTAAAAGAGTTGTTCATGTGCATCGACTGGTACAAGTTGATAAAATCACAGAAATGGTGGTAGAGACTCACACCTGCATCAAAGCATTAATCACACTGCCATTAGATTGTCACATCTGCAACACAGCATTAATCACACTGCCATTAGATTGTCACACCTGCATCACAGCATTAATCACACTGCCATTAGATTGTCACACCTGCATCACAGCATTAATCACACTGCCATTAGATTGTCACACCTGCATCACAGCATTAATCACACTGCCATTAGATTGTCACACCTGCATCACAGCATTAATCACACTGCCATTAGATTGTGACACCTGCATCACAGCATTAATGACACTGTCATTAGATTAATTGTCACACCTGCATCACAGCAATAATCACATTGCCATTAGATTGTAAAAATGACCACTACCATACAAAGATAAGGGTATGTATCAATATTATATAGCATATTAAATCAATAACAATGTGATTAGACAAGTGCCGCAGAGCGATAGCGCATAACTGACGTGTACTGTAGCCGGGTATTCTTCTGATAAACTCAATGGCAACCGAATCAAGTGCGCCCTCCCGCCACCGCATTCGCGCTCAGAGCATATATCTAGGATACTACTAATACAGATCTAAAATCTATGATAGGCTTTGCTATACCGGTAGTACAGTAATAAAGATACAGCTGTGTAACTTTAATGACTTTGCTATATTAACATGTTATCATGGATATGCGTCGAGCGCGAGCGTAGTAGTGGTGGTGGTGGGGGAGGGTGGGGGCTGGTGTGGTCAGGGGGGAGGGTGGGGGAGGGAGCAGCTGGAGGGGGCTCTAATGACAAAAGCAGTTCAGTCCTTTGTTAACACTCAACAAATCCATGTTTAACCCTCCTCTTGAGGGTCAAAAGGTTATGAGACTCTTCGCACGTCAGCGGAAAGTACATTTCATGGTCCTGTCAATAAAGTGATAAAAATGGTAGGTCAGCGCTGAAACAAAAAAAGTTTTGCACTCGGTCCGTTAGACCATGTCATCAGAAAATGCCTGATATCTGACCTTTCCCCCAGTGCGCTTTGACCTGTGACCTCCAATGTCGCACTGGTGATGGGTTTCCTCCCCATCACACTATACATCGAATATTACAAGCATAGGTCGAGCCGTTGAGATTTGTGCCGCAATTCCGTATTTCCTCCTATACCTTAAGTTGAGGGGGAAATATTCCCCCTCCATTGACACATCTTGACCCTTGACCCCCAAATTCGACATCCCGAGTCCTTTTCGCGATCCCCCCCCCCACCCCAACGTCTCGAATATCAAGACCGTACGTCGAGCGGTTAAGATTTGTGCCGTAACTGTTGACACACGGACGGACGGACGGCCGGACGGACATTCATGTGATTCTACAAGCTGTATCTGACTTCATCAGCTGAGCTAAAAAAACTATAATTTTCGATTTATTCACTCATTTGTAAGATAATTCTGATAGCACCAGACTACTGATCTATCTTTCACCTCACAATCTGCCTTAGTTTACCACATATGATGATATCACCTGGAACGTTAATTGACTCTTCTTGCTCGCTTCTCATACATACCAGCATCTAACTTGACGATGAAAGTTGGCTTATCGATCACTATATCACATCGGCCATCTTGGATCGGGAGGTAATCTAGACTCGTATACATCTCCAGCTCTGCGTACCTGCCGCGTGCAGAGTTACAGCTGTTAGCTTTACAACGCATCGTGAAAGAGTGATAACAATACCATCTGAGCTGTGTTAGTGGTAGTGATGTCACGATCTTTTTTTTTTTTAATTTGAACAAGAAAACTTGGAAAAGTGATGACAATCAGTACATGTATTATACACACAGTAGTAAACAGTGCAAAACAAACAGTAAACAGGGCTAAACAAGCACATACATGCACACACGTACATGCACACGACGTTACGCACACGCAGGCATTCAACACCCCGAGTAACCGATTGTAACCGATCATCGGTTACTTGGGTCCAACCGATGATCGATTACAAAATTACAACCGATTGACAACACTAGTTAGTGGTCACCTCTATAGAATTGACACCTGCCTATAAAGGACACATCAGGGGAATGCCCTTCAGGGACCCCTATATACAAGTTTGACTGTCGCTTGACAATAATGACAGTAGCGTCACGCAGCGAATACCTCTGCGTATTAATAAAACAGGAATGAGGCCACTGAAATCCTCATTTGTAGTAAACGAAGGCTCATCTACATTGTTGCTGTTATGGACATGGCTAACCAGCTAAGAGCTCACCACGACTGTAGAGGGCTCTTATGAGAGCCCATGTTTCTGAGCACATTCTTCTTCAATTTGCATCGACCACCAACATCCCCTTTCGCGAAGATGTTTTCCTGGTACCTGCAACACATGATTAAAAGAGTTCTGCATTTCAAAATCTGAAAATGGCAGCTAGAAACCCAGTGAACGAAATTTAATTTTCATCAGCTACTAAGGCACCCATGCTGCCACCTGCCCCTAGAGCATACCAGTGTTGCCACCTGCTCTTAGTGCAACCATACTGCCAGCTCTAACTAGTGTGCTCAAATTTGCATACATTACATTTGATTTCAAGCCAACGCATAAAATTGCCCGTCACTTGTCTCAACAAATGGAACAAAACTTAACAATATGAAATTATAGCAAAATTACTATTTGTTTTTTAGTGTTTGATCGATGGCAAACTCACATTTCATTGTTGTTATAGAAACATGCTTGTACACATCATTCATGGTAACTATGGTAAATCTAATTACACATACCTAGTTTTGCGAGATTTTGAATTGAGCTTTGTGAGATCAAAGTAGATGTTTGTTGCACGACAGTAGCGCGTATGCTCTGCACAGGTTAAGATTGAATCACCCTGCACACAAAATCAATGTTAGTAACTGTTATAAACACTCCATGCAACATACAACATGCTAATATACAACATTAAAACCATTGCACTCTGACCCTTGCACTCTGACATTTGCCAAGGTGACAAGTGCGTCTGACAAAATGTCAGAATCATACTCAAGTAACTCAACGTCAGAGGACGTCGCACCGCTGGTATACCGAGTACAAAGTCTACTGTGCCTATTAAAATCTTATCGGTTTCTAATATTTGCTCTCAACCCATTTTCAGCCGTACGAAATTATGGAGCGGTTAATCTACCTATGATTCTAACATGCAGCATAATTTCACAGTTCTGGAAGTAAACAGCAAGCTAAAACACAGGATGGTATCAGTAACTTTTCAATGTATCAGACTCTAGCATGAATGCGGAGAGTTAATAAATTTGCTCTTAATTATGAGAGCCTATATATAATGCATCTGAGCACATTCTTCCTAAATGTGCATCCCCAACCAAGATCACCTTTTGATAAGATACCAATTGGGGTTAGATCCTACAGTGCCTACCCAAACAGTCTGTTCAGTATCATACTATTACAAAATAAGGAGAGAGAAAGGCGGCCGAGAAGAATAGGCTGCGATGTGCAGTTGTACTTGCCTCATGTTCCGGCTGGCATACAACAGTCAGTGACTCCATCTTCTTCTTAACATAACCGAAGTCTGCTGTCTTGTAGAAGGTGCTCACCTGGTCCACTTTGTTGTGTATACTGTAGAGAAACATAGACGCCATTTTTACATCGTATTTATATTACGCCGTAAATCACTGCTTATACACTGCGCCCCTATGCGCAGTGTGTCTATAAAACAGTGAAAGCTCTTTAATTAGGAATTAATATACACGGGGTAGGGTTTATTTGTAACTGTTAATAGTATGGATACTATATACTACAACTGTTTTAAAATGGTGTGAAACAGTTACTTGTTTTTCTTTTTCATGTATTTTTTTACCCAAACTTGCCTACATACCTATTGTAATGTAAAATACTTTATTTTAATTATTATAAAAAAATTTAAGTGATACGATACAGTACTACAATGCTCTATAACACAAAGAAAACTTAACTTCAGGCTGAGACTTTGATAGTTGACTCCACAGCTTCGTAGTGCTGAACAGACACACAGCCGATATAACACACACACACACACAGCCATCCATGCACTCACACATATTATTATTTACCTGCTGCCTTTACTAATAAACTGCCCATCACATTTTGGATGCGAATACTGATGGTCTTCTGTACAATCGTCTTCGTAGCCCCAGCAAACACTTGCATTGCTTGTTTTCAACAGTTCCTGCATGAGACAACAGTACAAGTTTTATAACACTGCACAGTTAGATGGAAATGCAACAAAGCAAATTTTCCTTTTAGCTTTTTACAGCCATTTTGGGTCAAAGGTAGTTTGGGACCCTGCAAATGTGTTTTCGCACAAAGCTAGTCTGGGGTGCTAAACTAGGCATAGGCCACCATTTTTACTTTGTGTCGTTTTATTTTTGAGGCAACAAAGTAAGAAGAAAAGCCATGTCACTTGCTGTTGTAGCCATGATAAAATTCAAGCCTTGCTGTTGTATGCAACTGATTATATTTACCTAGTTTTCACTACTAACTATTCTTTCAAATTTAGCCTTACCGCATATGCACACTGCTCATCTTGCTTGCATGCTTCTGCTGCTTTGGGATTTGTATGAAACCAGTAAGGCATTAGCTCTGCAGGCAAGTTCACATCGTATATCATGTTTGCTTGCCCCACACTTACAGCAATTACCAAAAGCAGCAACAAAACCATCCTAAGAGTATCTGAAATTACAAGCAAGAATGTCATAAGAACCACCTCATAGAGTCATGCCATAACATCATAGAAATCACTAATTCAGTAACTGACACACAATGTGAACATATGCTGCTATTGCTGACAATCTTTTCTTCCGCTTCCAGACCTCTCTTCTAACCTTGCCACAAGTCAATCGTTAAAACTTAGGTCTCGGTGATGGTGGTAGCTTGAACGGTTAGTGCCACTCTGCTCTATCACAGGCGCTTGGAATGTTTCAATAATGAAGATGGTAAATAACACAAAATGTATTGTGTGTTTACTACTAAATTCTTAATCATTTTATCTATTCTCCTTCGCAGTATTATTGGCAACAGTGTCTCCTCTGCAACACGCGCAGTTTCACCGATTTTATGTTTGCAGAAAGTTGAAAAACAGCATTGTATATTTTGGTTGTGTATTTAATTTACAGTATGTATTATACATGTATATAACAGTTTTTGTATATAAAGGTTGTGTATTTACCTATTTTGCTTATTTTTGCTGATCTGAAGTTTGTGCATTTCACGCCAGGTTCCTTATATTCATGCTGCTACAACTCCAAATCTCATGTTGGTACTGAGCACATTATTTATCTCTTGTCACCTGCACTCCACTTCCTCGTTACTTATCTCCAGTTCTTTCTAAGACGATGATAAAAACCAACCTGCCATCATATACAAACACATACATAGAGTAGCTATATAAGCTGACACAGTGCTCTTCCGGCAAGAGGGTGAACACATGCAGGCACTTGGAACGTCTCAATAAAAAAATAATAATTAAATGGTAAATAAACACGAAATGTATTTACTACCAAAGTCTTCATGTTTCTCTACTCCAGTGCTGCCACTCAGGATATTACAAAAAACGTATAAAATCTGTCCAGAAAAAAGTATCAAAATTGCCTAAAAAAATATTTAAAAAAGTATCAATTTGTATCAATTGTATTAACCTACCATGATTTGTTACCTTATAGTTATACCTTATTACCGAATACATTATAGCCTATGTGCAGCATGTAAACAAGCTTCAGGAATGATGTGTGTAATGTCATGAGGTGTTGTCTCTTGAACTCTCCGTTTGGAATATTTCAATGCTGTTTCCTTTGGCCAGAAAGGTCTATACAGCGGTAAATTATTTTGTGGTGTGTTTGTGTGTTGCGAGGTCCTAGCACAGTGAGCAGTGCATGTGCTTGGGCAGCTAGGGGGGTCTGGGGGCATGCTACCCCAAGAAATCTTTAAAAAAATGGTGCAATTAGGTACATTCTAAGCTATATTCTGGACACATTGTATGACTCGTGAATCTCTTTTTCAAGTTATCAAAAGTTTCGTCAGCGAGGCAGTGTTTTGGACAAATTTCTGTGTGGCGGTTGAGAATTTGAGCGATGCGGCCTGCCTCGCTCGTGTCAATGCAGGGGAAACACTGCAATGGTCTGTCATTTTGGTCACTGACGCTGAGAGGGTCTATGTACACCAGGACCCGGTTCCACAGTCGTGGTTTAACTTTAACCCTGAGTTAAGGAATTTAACTCAGAGTTAAGAGTTAATCCACGACTGTGGAACCGGGTCCTGGGTACTGCCAGAACGTACCCTGGGTACGGTCCGGTGTACCAGAACGTACCCTGGTACTATCTAATAATATGCCGGACCGTACCTCGCCTACTCCACTAACGAGTCTAGGGAGTCGCCTACGCCTACTCCCTAACCCTAATCCTAACCCTAACCATATCAAATAGTGACCAGGGTACGTTCCGGCAGTACACTGGGGGACATAGACCCTATGAGCGTCACTGACAGCAGAGAGCTGAGAGCAAAAACACTCCACTGAACAGAGCACACATCACTCTAGCCATAGTACTATAGCCCGCATTCATTAACTGCTGCAGGCGGCAGTTAAGCCGAGCGCACACGTGGCGTTTCTTATCGACAGTACCGGCGATTTTGTTGCCAGCAACAAAATCGCCGAGAAATCGCCACGTGTGCGCTGCACGGTGTCACCGATTTTGACGCCAGAAACTCGTCGATGGAATATCAAACACGTTTGATATTTGTTGCCCAGTCGCTGAACAATCGCTACGCTGCTTGCGCTGACCAGGCGACGGATTCAGCCACAAGTTATTTGGATCTAACCAATCAAATGCAGATTTTGAAGCACGTATCAAAAATTATTAGCAGCGCCGCGACGTGTGGTTTTGAATACGGTCCGTTACAGTTCACACAGTGGTATGTCGGCTGACAGATGGTTTGCATTGTCGCTGCGGTGCCACACATGTGGCGATTTTTATAGACAGTGCTGTCGATAAAAATCATTTATAGATACAATGCCACAGGCCCACTTGAAGCGTTCAACCTGCTAATACACACGCCGCGCCATTTTCGCGCGCACACTGACACTTAAATATATAGTGTCAGATGTATATATTTATGTGTCTATATTTTACTGTATCTATATATTTATGCGTTGTCAGTCGTTGCGCGCAATGGCGGGCGGCGTGTGTTTATCAGATTGAAACGCTTCAAGTGCCTGTGATATCAATTGAATGAATACAATAAATGATTACAATGATTATATGATAATTATTGACCATGATTTATTATTGAATGATGTTAGTTGAATGATTCATATTATTAGATTAATCAGTGTGTAAATGCCGTTCAATGCCCTCATGCTGCAACACAATAATGTATAATCAATAATGCTACAATAATATGAATAATGTAAACCAAAACTACAACGGATAGGGTTACCAGGCTTTCTGGTGCACAGTTTTCCTATGGTTTTCTGGTGGTCAGCCTATGGTTTTCTGTGGAGGACACCACTGGAGTGGAATCACTCAGGCGCCTGGTTTGCTGGTGCGTCTCTTCAGAGCACTTAGAACTTCCAAACTGGCTTTATTCTAAACACAAACCTTTCTCCGCTATCCTGGAACTTACTATGTATCACAATACTCTGTATTAAACTAATATAACCTGTTACAAAAATTCGAAGTGACGAGCAGCGGATATATTGAGCGCCATTTCTGTTGACCTGTGACGTACTTCGGTTTGAAGAGCGGATTCACCGACCAATCGGAGGGCGCTGCGTTTGCCGATTGGGAATGCGTACGTCACAAAGTGGTTGTAGAGGTCAAGGAGCTACATATAACTGTTATATGTAGCTGTTATATATAAGTACCATATAACATATGTACAACTGTAGTTATATATAACATAACTGTTATATGTAGCTCCTTGGTAGAGGTCACTGTTTCCGACCCATTACCTATCATAGTTTCTTTAACTTTTTTCGTACGGTCGTAGAAGACCAGCCGCTGTCTACCGGTCATAGGTGTATACTATCAGATACTAGCAGGGGCGTAGATAGCGGGGGGGATGCATCCCCCCACTTATTGCCGTGGGGGCCGGGATGGCGTGTACAATCATCCCCCCCCCTACTTTCAGGAGGAAAATGGGGGATTCAAAATTTTCTGTGGGAGGACCCGCATACCACCGCCTGTTTCTTACCACCCTCCTCGAAAACCTGCATTGGCCACTGTCGAGCGTAACAAATTGAGCACCCCCACTTCAAAAATTGTTCCGCGGCGCCTATAGAGTACTGCTAACGAAGATTATGATTATGAATATTTGTATGCATATCAAAAGTCAAATTTGAGTTTATCTGACAGGGGCTTAGATAGCGGGGGGATGGGGGTATATCCCCCACACTTATTGAGGTGGGGTACGTGGCTTTCGTCCCCCCTACTTTCAGGAAGAAAATGGGGAAAAATTTATTATTTTACAGACAATAAATACTTGATATTTATCTACAAATCCGTCATCGCTATTCATCTCCTAATGTATTATTACAGAAATGGAACGTGACATACATCTACTGTAAAATGGCTGTAACTCGTTCCAAGAATGACATTATTTTACTGAAACTCAGACGCGGTTAATTTTGGACGGGTTCCTCATATACGATTTTTTTTTCAAAATCCCCAAAGTCTTATCACTGCTCACGAAAGTTAAATCCTTGCTTTATTCAAAATTTGAATATACCTATATTGAGAGTTGGGATGTTGAATCTTCACGGGGATTGAATGGGAAAATTCTATTTTATCTCACTTTTTTGGGGGGGATGGGGTGCTGAGACCCGACCGGAATTATCCTGATTTTGTACAAGGGGTGAAAAAATGCACTTTTTTGTTCAAATCTGGTTGTTTTTCAAATTTTTTTTTTGCAGTTTTAACGTTCTCGGTAAAATATACGTTTTATCAAAATTTAAGGGGAGATGATTCCAGTGCTGTAGTTGTAAACGGGGTTCGGTAGCATGGGGCGGTCGCCCCCCCCCCTAGAATTTTCAGGGCAAAGGTATTTTAGCCTAGGTAAGTCTGCACTGATAACCCCAGTGAGGACATGTACATAGCACAGATTTGGTAGTAAGTATTTTAGTCTGGTGTGACCTGGTGTACCCAAAGGTAAAAATACTCAACTCAACAGTGATGTTATTGTGATGAAGATTGTTTAATAGTGCTGCCTCACAGTGCAAGAAATTGCATCGAAGAGNATGATATTGAATATTATGATGATTTATGATGAAATGATTTATTTGAATTGATTATATTATAGAGATCAGTGTGTAAATGCGTTCAAATGCCCTACTCTGCCAATCCAATAATGTATAATCAATAATGTCACAATAAATGAGATAATGTAACCAAACACAGAATGGGTTACCAGGCTTTCTGGTGTTTTCTATGTGTTCTGGTGGTCAGCTATGGTTTTCTGTTGGAGGAACAACTGGAGTGAACACTCAAGGGCTGTTTTGGCTGCTGCGTTTTCAGAGACTGAACTTCCACAACTGGGTTTATTCTAACACAACCTTTCTCGCCGATCCTGGAACTCACTATGTATCACAATACCTCTGCTATTAAATAATAAACCTGTTACAAAAATTCGAGTGACGAGCAGCGCGATATATGAGCGCCATTTCTGTTGACCTTGACGTACGTTCGGTTTGAAGAGCGGATTCACCGACAAATTCGGCAGGCGCTGCGTTTGCCCGAATCGGAATGCTACTCACAAATGGTTGTAGAGGTCAGTGTTCCGACCTTACCCTTATCAGAGTTTCTTAAACTTTTTTCGTCGTCGTAGAGACCAGCCGCTGTCCTACCGGTCATAGGTTAATATATCAGAGTACTAGCAGGGGCGTAGATAGCGGGGGGGGGGGGTTGCATCCCCCCCCTTATGCCGATGGGAGCCGGCATGGCGGATACAATCATCCCCTACTTTCAGGAGAAATGGCGGTGATTCAAAAATTTTCTGTGGAGGACCGCAGTACCCCGCCTGTCTTCCGACCACGCTTCCTCGCAAAACTGCATTGGCCACTGCGAGCGTAACAAATTGAGCCACCCCCACTTCAAAAATTTGTTCCGCGGCGCCTAACAGAGTACTGCTAACAAAGATATTTTATGATTCAAAAGCTCAAATTTGAGCTTTCATCTGACAAGCGGGCGTAGACTAGCGGGGGGGGGGCGGGCGCGATGGGCGAATATCCCACCAACTTATTGAGGTGGGGTGCTTTCAATCCCCCTACTTCAGAGAAAACATCGGGAAAATTTAATACTTTTACACGACAAACTAAGACTCTAATGTATGATTACAGCAAATGGTAACGTGACATTAGCATCTACTGTAAAATGGCTTTAAACTCGTTCAAGAATACCATTATTTTACTGAAACTCAGACGGTTAATTTTGGACGGGTTCCTATATACGAGGCGGTTTTTCTTTTTCAAAATCCCAAAGATCGTATCACTGCTCGACGAAAGTTAATTCCTTGCTTTATTTCAACTAGATATGACCTATATTGAGAGTTGCGGATGTTGAATCTTCACGGGATTGATGGGAACAATTCATTTTATATCTACTTTTGTGGGGGATGGTGCTGAGACCCGACGGTAATTAATCCTGATTTTGTACAAGGGCGTGAAAAATGCCTTTTGTTGTTCAAATTCTAGGTTTTGTTTCAAACTTTTTTTGTGTGCAGGTTTGAACGTTCTCGTAAAATATACGTTTTATCAACAATTTCAGGGGAGATGGATTCCCAGTGCGGTAGTTGTCACGGGGGTCTCGTCATGCGGTTGCCCCCCCCCTAGAAATTTTCAGGCAAAGGTATTTTAGCCGCTAGTAACGTCTGCACTGATAACCCCAGTGAGGACTCATACACTAGCACAGCATTTGTAGTAAGTATTTTAGTCTGGTGTGACCTGTGTCCCCAAAGCGTAAAAATACTCACTCAACAGTGATGTTACTTTTGTGATGAAGCATTGTTTAATAGTAGCTGCCTCACAGTGCAGGAAATTGCATTCGCAAGACGGTGTTTACTTTTCAACAAAATCCCGGAGCCCCCCCCCCTTGAAACAGGAGGCGGGACACCGCCCTGAAGAACGATAAAAATCCTGGATTTCTATGATAGAGATGTACAAAATGAGCTTTTAGCATGCAACCTTTTCAAACAATTCCACACAATGGGAGGTGAACCCCCTCTAACCCCCCCCCAGGCGCTTCGTGCCCTTGAGCTCGCATGATTCCCACAAAAACCTCAGAATTTCTTCTGCGATCGCCACTGGTTGTGTGTGTGCGGGGTGTTGCGTGTTATTAAACTCTGGGATCCAGAAGAAAAATTTACCCTAGAATTCACAAAATTGCACTTACAATATCAATTTTTTTCAAGTTCAAAACACCAAAAACGGCCATCTTGAAGCGTTTCTAAATTGCTAAAATCCAAGAGTTCCAGGGGCTCGCCCCCTGGACCCCGGCAAGGGCTCTTGCCCGTGCACCCGACAGGGGCCCTGGGGGCCGCTGAACCCCCACCATATAAGCGGCTTTTAAAACTACTCGCGCCACTCTCATTTACTATGTCATAGACAGTAAGGAAATCATCCCTCCCCCCACAATGAGGACCTGCCTACGCCACTGGTACTAGTGATCGCTGATGATAGTAGCCAAGAGCTGGCTACTATTTTCTACGGCTCGTGAAAAACAAGATTTCAAACCCAAAAGAATAAAAAGAGCAAAACAAAGAGCATGCCGTACGGAGTCCAACTATGCGCCTTCCAAATTACTACGAGCGTCCAAATACTTACGGTACACTGAGGAGCGTCCAGTTTCGGGCGAGCGTCCAAACTCTACGATACAGCGGTAGGAAGTAGAAATGTCTTTCACAGTCAGTGTCAGTTATACGCTACATTAGGAATTACGATATTAAATTAAAAAATGAAACTAAAACAATTTCCCTTAGCAAGATTTGAACCTGTGGAATCTATTCCTTCGCCAACCCTTATAAAGAATACACCTGTGCGATAGCCTTGTATATAGCGTCGTGGACGTCACATATACGGAATTGAACGGTGAAGGCAGAGAGATCGATGACAGGTTCAACGAATTAAAACGTAACAGTAAGAAAACAAGCCCTCTATATAACTACTTCTAAATGGTCTATATACACATACAGCAACACTATAGTTTGTTCATTTTTTTGTTTATTTCTATTTTTTGGAATATTTTCTAAAAATGCCACTAAAATTGGACACAAGCAGAGAAAACGGTGGTTGAAAGCTGCGCACCGGTTAGTGCTGCTATGCAGTGAGAGAATCTATAACTACGGGTAGTCGCGCTTTCCGTGCTTTCCGTGCTTTCCGGTATTGCTGCTGTCTGCTACCGTCGCTGTCAAGCCATCATCGAAATACGTAATACGTAATAATCATCATGAGCTAATAATACATTATGTATTAATTTAATGTATATTATATATGTCCACAGGTAACGTTAACTGTTGTCTTGAACGGTCACATCGTGGATTACGACTGTATCTTCGTGGGTTGTTTGTAAATACTATTGTAATTTCTGGTGTCTATTTAGTGTTGCGTATGATGTCAGCGCCGTTCCCCATGTACATTAGCATAAGGGAAGGATTGTGGCGGGATGCTGCGGTCGACGTCAATATTTTAGATCGGAACTACGCATGCACATCCTCTTCGGGCGTACGTCTGCCCATTTTAAGCGCGTAAGATCGGCCAAAGAAAATTATCTTGGGTATATAGAACCAATTAAAAATATGTGAGCTATGGCCGATGTGAAGTACACCAAAAAAGACGGCGGGCAGTGCAAGCAGTGCGCATCGCAAATCTCCACCTCGTTACTTTTGATTGGGCGGCACTGTCCCATCATGCATCTTGTCCAATTAGCGTCTAAAAGAAATGATATATAGGGTCGATTTTTAACACTCAAAAAGACGGTGCAGCCCAGTATAGGTGGCACGCTCGGCAAATCGCGATAATATAACACTGATAAGATGTCAATCCGGCACCAATAATCACAATTTCGATCCATCTTAACAGATCAGCTGAGCCGGCGTTTTTCATCGGGAAACTACATCACCATTTCCGCCTGTTAATTGCGTGTCTAGGGAGTCAATATGTCTAGGGAGTCAATTGTGTGTCGAGCGACCTAGGGAGACAATATCGCACCTGGCGTTTTATCTGTACGAGGATGATGGTTGAAGCCGTCTGTCTAACTACAGTCGCTAGCTAGGTCCGTTTATATAGGTGTTTTCGTAGCAGGTTTTTTCGTTGTGCCCGTAATTATACATCTGTTCTTTACCTATCTCAGATGTTTTGCAAAAAACGTAAAGCTGTCACATGCGTTTTACGCGTATAAAAACGAATCGTCTGTAATTTGCCTGAACAGAAGAGAACGGATATTATATCTTGCTGTCATTTATTCGTGTGTGTTATGGAGCGAATTTAGTTTTAGTGTTGTCGCTCTTATTTCGTATGGTTATATATAGAGAACCAGTCGCAAGCATTCTCTGGCGTACGTTATTCTGTTCGTTTGGGATAAAAATTGATATCGTCAGCAATCGATGCAAACTAAAATCATGGAAGCGCGACATGCATCCAACGCTTTCAATAATTATTCTACGTGTCCGGTACTCCGGATGTTTGATCGACATTTAGCAAACAAAAAATATGTATTTGATCAGACTTTGAACTAGCAGCTTGTATGGCTCAGTTGACGCGCGTGCGTGCGTGTGCGTGCGTGTACTGTACACGCCGTGGAATAGACAGAAGATAAGTTAAATGAGACAGAAAAGTACGACGAAGGCGAAAGAAACACGACGAGGTAGATCTGGAAAGCGGAATCGATAACACAACGTTGCATATTGTATATAGAGATTTCGCCAGTAACAACAGCATTGCATGTAGTTAACAACATTTGCGTGTATATTTAGCAGAGCAGACTAGAACTATATATATATGTTTACAGTTTTCATTATGGTTAGGCCTAAGTAGTGCAAATCACGACAACACCCACGCGATAACATTGGTCTCCATCGTCTTCCTTCTAGTGCAGACTACAGACGTGTAAAACTATAATGAGGATGTGTACACATATACGCGCGCGCACACGCACACACACGAGCGCACGCACACACACACTGACAGACAGACGGACGCACACCCACACGCACACACGCACCGCCATTTGAACTGACGTAAATCTTCTTAGGCAATTACCTTCATAAGGGGTGGGGTTTGCCGTGATTGGTTTTTCTTAAACCGCACAGCGAACATGTCGTATTGACCAATCGCATGTTTCGAATATCAGCAACGACTAGGCATCTTGTGACATTACGAAGAGATCGATACTCACGTATTGATTTCGCGCAATCAGGTGACGTAACGGCGTTGACACGCAGCTAATTCGGCACGTTCACAAACATAAGTGAAATGTCGAAATCTCCGGCTATAATGAGTGAGATATTCGGTAAAAGCGGAAAAGTCGATGCGACTGTTAGATGTTATTTGTTATCGATGGCGATTGTTAGTTCCGTCAGACATAATCGTTATAGCGTCACGCACGCACGCACGGGCGCGCACACACACACGCACGCACACACATGCGGTCTGTTGACTCCGGCGTGTCGTACGCGCCACAGCACACGCGCACTGACACGATCGCGCACGCAACACACACTTACGCGCTTACGCAACGCACACAGATTCACAGCACACACACCACACATCGTGCCACACACACACACACGACCACTCACACCACACACAAACACACACACACACACATATATATGATATTAGTATATTATATAATAGATATTATTAATCATTATATACACACACACACCCTACAGTCTGTACACACTGAACTACATCCCGACTGCTGCATCGGAGGATTTCTCTTCCGGTTGCTCTGATCTGTCCATGCTAACGAAGCTGGACTGTGCGACCCTGTCAGGGAGGGCGCTGGCAGTCATGATGGCCTGCTGCTGCGCCAGGCTGCTGCCGCCAGCAGCGCCGCCGTCGGGAGAAGCAGCGATGGGAGGTGGCGTCGGAGAGGGCTGCGCGGGGGGATTCGCGAGACTCGTTCGCTCGAGAAACTGAAAGAAGTCCTCTCCGTCGCACGGCAAGAAGTCCTCTACGTCGTCGTCGAGACCTCGCAGACGACGCACGCAGCCCCGCGCGCGCCGCAGCGCCTCCTCGCGGATCTGTCGGTTGAGGAAGCCGTAGAGGACGGCGTTCATCGCGAAGCCGACGTATGTAAGCCACGCTGACAGCGCCTCGGCTAGCTGCTGGTTGGCTAGGTGACCGCTCGACGCCAGTCCGCACAGGTTGACGATAAAGAACGGACCCCAGAAGAGCAGGAAGAACGCAGTCACCAGCGTCAGTGTCTTTGCCGCTTTCCACGGATTTGAACTGATGCCGTAGAGGTTCTTCTGCGCGTTGCGGCGTCGCCACAGCCTCCGCAACAGCGCCAGGCATCGCGTCGCCGCAGTGGCGCCCTCGGGCGGCGTCTCGCCCGGCGGCGGTTCGGCGCTCGCCGGCGTCGCCGACGGCTGCGTCTTGCGCGGTCCGTGGACGTCGCTGTGCGCCGACGCCGAGATGATGCTGATGCGCGGATGCTGCTGTTGCGTCGGCTTGACTCGCGTCGTCGCGCGTTTGGCGACGTGGAAGATGGCGACGTACATCGACACGATGATGCAGGCCGGCGCCGCAAAGCAGACGACGCTTACGGCTATCATGTAAGATCCCGTCTGCGCGTCCCACGCCAGCGAGCAGTGCCCGCGGCACGGTCGGTACTCGTAGCGCCCCCAACCGGCGAGCGGTGGAAGCGCGCAGACGCACGCCGCCGCCCACAGCGCGCCGACGGCGGCCCGCGTCTTCGGCAGCGTCACGTTGGCGGCGTGCGACATCGGGTAGGCGATCGAATAAAACCGCTCGCAGCTGATCAGCGCCAGCGACAGCGCCGACGCGAACGTCAGCAGTGACGTCAGAAACGCATTGGCGTCGCAAAGCGGCGCTGCGAGCAGCCAGCGCGGGGAGCCGTGGTGGAGGATAGAGAGCGGTATGAGCAGCACTCCGGCGAGTATGTCGATGACGAACAAGTTGCCGAGAATGATGTTGGTGAGGGTTGCGCGCAGCTGCGCGGCGGCGAGCACGGTAACGAGAACGCTCAGATTGAGTACGAGAACAGTAACGTTGACGATACTCATGAAGACGACGACGACCACCTGCGCTGGCGATGACGTCTCAACCGAGCACAGCGTGACGTCATCGAGATACGTCGCGTTTTCCACCGACGTCATCGTCGTTTCATTGTCGAGGCGCAGCGGTGGCGCCATCATGCTGAGAAAAACGAAAACAGAAATAGAATTGTCGCGATGCGGTCAGTGAAACGCGGAGAGTAATTAATTATTCACATTAAAGACGACGCCTGAATAATGAAAGACATTCATGAACGAGCCACGTATAAATGTTATATAAAAGCTATTATAAATGGATTATACTGCCTCAAGAGACTCAACCTCTAACCTTAACGAGGAGCGAACCTAAGCCACTATATACGCTAATTATTGAGAGAGGGACTGAATCGGTCGCACACACACACAGTGTTATTTATTGGTTGACAGAGTAGATGTTGACATGTCGCCAGATATCAAGACACGAAGAGGAACCGTGTCCCCTAGATAATTCGTCCAGCTAGATGACATGCGAGAGTTACGGAGAAAAAAATGCGGGTATTCGACCAATGTAGAAAACGTTCGCGGGGTTGGTATAGTACATGAGAGGAAATCCGCGTGGATTCATACTTGGAGAAATAATTTCCCTGTGATAAACAGGCAAATATTTTTGTTTTCGATGGACGTGTTTGATAGTTTTTATCAAGTTTGCAGTTAGCATCATACTCTCCCTCTTTGTCTCTGTCTCTCTCTCTCTCTCTCTCTCTCTCTCTCTCTCTCTCTCTCTCTCTCTCTCTCTATCGGATATATATTTGATAGATTACAAAACCGGTCGGAAACGTATGTATGTCAGACGTCTGAAAACATGGCGTGTCGGTTCGTCGCAATCGCATGCGCACACACCAAAGCATTTCGGCTGCGGTGTATTAAACAGCAATCACGTGCGCGCACAGCTGCTGAGGCGAAAATTTAAGGGACAAACCCAACGAGGAGACGGCTGCATGTTTGTATGTGCGTGTGCGCGTGTGCGCGGTGGTCGCGGTCGTGCGCGTGTGCTGCGTCGTGCGCGTGTCGCGGTGTGGCGTAGGTGCGCGTGATGCGCTAGTCTGCGCTGGTGGTGCTGCGTGTGCGCGTAGTTGCGCGTGTGCGCGTGTGCGCGTGTGCGGTGTGCGCGTGTGGTCGCGTGTGCGTGTGCGTGTGCGTGTGCGTGCTGCGTTTATTGTATGTATGTAGTATGTATGTATGTATTAATGTTATGTATGTTGTATGATTGTATGTATTGTAATGTATGTTATGTTGTATGTCATGTATGTATGTATGTTGTATGTATGTATGTATGCGGGAAGTGCTGTGGTGCGTGTGGTGTATGTGCTGTGCGGCGCCGATGTGTGTGTATATTGGTATGTGTGTGCTCGCCCGTGCAGGCTGTGTGTAATTGGTATGTGGTGCCCGTTTGTGTGTGAATGCAGTGTGTGCGTGCGTGCGCGGTGGTGTGTGATGTGTGTGTGTGTGTTGCGCGCGTGAATGTGTGCAATATTTGACAACGGGAGGTGTACCTCTGCCCGCCGCCGTCCACTGACTTTCAAGAAAATATATTTTTTAAATATCAATGCATGTTGCTTTTTTTTTATTGATTTTTTTGTTTGATGTTCTAACCAGAATGAGATTTTCAAAAAATTATTTAAATTAAGTGACAATTGTACTATTGAAATCACCCCATTTTCTTCTTTTTTGGAAAAATTGATATGTATTTAGGTAAATTTCAGATTTATATGATATATTTAGATACATATTTTTATTTAAAAAAATATTTGATTATATGACTCGAGTCTAAATGATTCAGTATTTTTGTTTACTGTAATACAGTCATCAAGATGAAAGCGAGAAGAGTAAAATGGTTAAACGCATCCTAGTCAGACGCCACTGAACCCGGCTGGAGACGGGCAATAGTATAGTGGTAATATCATTAGTAATATTATTATTTTATTAATGTTGTCGTGTGTTGTGTGTGTGTGTGGTGTGTGTGTGATGTGTGTGTGTGTGTGTATGTGTGTGTGTGTGTGCGTGCGTGCGTGTGTGTGTTGCGTGGTTGCGTGAGTGCGTGCGTGCGTGCGTGCGTGCGTGCGGCGTGCGTTGTCGTGCGTTGCGTGTGTGTCGTGTGTGAGGAGTGTGTGTTGGGTGTGTGTGTGTGACACGCAGCTGTGTGTGTGTGTGTGATGCATTGTACGAGTGTCATTGGGGGCAGGGAGTGAGGAACCCACATGTCAGCATCGCGCCGAATAAAAGACACTACGTAGAAGAGACGCGTGCAACAGATACATGAATGTAAAGACGTACAAAAGGTATGTCGTGTTATTATCTATTAATATTGAAAACCGCCAATTAAATGTAGCGAGCGATTAGAAGTGTGCGCATAAATCTACAATCTAAATGTCGCCCAATTACCATAGAGAGCCAACCGTCACATCCTATATGGCTTAGGTGGTATCAACGCGTACGTGTGTCTTATATATCTATTACTTATAGTGCGTGGTAGCGTTTGCGGTGCGTGTGCACGTACACTGTGCGGTTGCATGCGTGAGTGCGTTGCTGTGGCACGTAATGTGCGTGCATGTGCACGTCAGCGATGCGTGCGTGCTGCGTGCGTCCGTGTGTGTGCAAGATAACTGTGCGTGCGGTGCGTGCGGTTGCGGTGCGGTGGTCTGTCGTGCGTTGCTGTATGTGCACGTTAGACGTGCGTGCGCTGCGTGGTTGTGGCACGTTACACGTGCGTGCGATGCGTGCACGTCGCGTGCGTGTATACCTACACGTGCGTGCATGCGTGCGAGTGTCGCCGACGTAACGTTTTCGTTCATGCGCGGGCGTGCTCGATGTGTGTGCACGTTAAACGTGCGCGCATTGCGTGCGTGCTGTGCGTGTGTTACTACACGTGCGTTCATGCGTGTGCGTGTACAGTACACGTGCGTGCATGCTGTTGGCGTGCGTTGTTGTTGGTGCACGTACAAGTGCGTGCGTGCTGTGCTTGTGCGAATGCGTGCCGCGTGTGTGGCGCGCCGTGTGCAGGTACACGTTACTTGCGTGCGTGCGTGCTTGTGCAGGTGCACGTGGGTTGATGTGGTGCGTTGCGTGCGTCGTGGCTCCGTGCAGCTGTGTGCACGTTTACACGTGCTGTGGTGCGTGCGTTGCGTCGCATCCTGTGTGTGTGATGTACACGTGAGCCGTGCGGTGCGTGCGTGGCGTCCTGTCGTGCGCGCGTGTGCATTGCACGTACATAGTGCGTGCATTGCGTCCGTGTATGTGCACGTACAACGCTGCTAGTTGCGTGCGTGGCGTAGCGATGGTTATGTGTCGCGCGATGTGCAATGGTGCACGTATAGACGTGCTAGCGTGCGTGGCGTGGACGTGCGTGCGTGGCGTGTGTAACGTAACCTACACGTGCGTGCATGCGTGCGTCTGTGTGTGTGACGGCTAGCACGTGATGTGGTGCGTGCCGTGCACAGCGATGTTGTGTGCTGCGTAGTGCCAGTAACGTGCGTGCTGTGCTGCTGGTAAACGTGGCGTGCGTGCGTGGGTACGTCGCGACGAACCAGCACCGTGCTGTGCACGTCACGTGCGCGTGCGTGCATGCGTGCGTTGCGTTGCGCTGTGTAACCTACACGTGCGTGATGCACGTACACGTGCGTGCGTTGGTGTATGCATGTAGGCGCGGTGCAGGTACACATTCGTGCGTGCGTGCTTGTGCAGTACACGTGGGCCCCCGTCCGGAAGAATGTGTTGCATGTGTTTACAGGTACACGTGTAGTGCATGTGTGCGTGCATGCATGTGCACGATAGACGCTGGGCGTGCGTGCTCCGTGCTGTGCGTGCGTGCGTGCGTGCAAGTGTGCACGTACACGTTGCGTAGCATGCATGCGGTGCGTGCGTGGTCAGTACACTGTGCGTGCATGAGTGTGTGCGTGCGATGGGCAAGTACACGTGCGCGTGCGTGCGCTGCGTGCGTTGTACGTTACGATCGTAATATAGTGTTGCCGGCTAATCGCTGAGTTATGTACTATTCACTAACTCGGAGTGAAGCGTATACACGGGGCCTTACTCGGTTTAAGGGTATATCGAAGTTAGCTTAACTCGACGAATGGCCGGAGGTTAAGCTACTCGGTTTAAGGCCCCGTGTAGAACGCTTTAACTCGGTTATATGGTTCGTTCGTGTAGACGAGGCGATTACTTGTGTGATTTTACTATCACATGGCGAGCTCGCGGTAGTGCCTGAGGACTGTGCCTGTAGCCTAATGAGAGTCGAGCAGTTGCATTAGACATGTCGTAAATACAGGCAAGAAGATGAAATATTGAGGCCGCGCAATAAAAGCACGTGTGACGCACAATATCCACTCGGCAATCAGGGAACATCATCGCATACGGCTTTGTAGGCGTGTATATATATATAACAAACACAGGGGCGGGCGCGCGCACGCACGAATTCGCGCCAGTGTATTATGTACACGCACCCGACACACATATGAACGCACGCACGCAAACACGGCACGCCGCACACAACACATCATCACCATATGGCGAAGAAAGAGGGGGGGAAGGGTAATGTGAGCAGAGAGAGAAGGAGGCGAGGGCATGGAGAGGGAGAGCAGAGAGGACGAGAGT